TTTTTTTTTTTTTTTTTTTTCCCTGAGCTTTTTTCCCCCCCGCTTTTCCAGCGGCGCCTCCCAGGAGCTCCTCGCGGGAGGTTCATTCCCGGCCGGAGCGCGGCACCTTCCGTGCGCTCCCGCACTTAATCCCTGTCTCGGCAGCTTCCGAAATCCAAACCTCTGTCATCCCCTGGCCGGCCCTCTGGAAGCTCCCGGGGCCATCTGCTTTCGCTTAGCGCCGGGAACGATCCCGCTCCAGCCCCGGCAGAATTCCCGGGAAAAAGAAAAGCAGCAGCACATCCTGGAGAGATCCCGGGCCAGGAGGGGATTGGGGAGGGGGGTCCTGAGCTGAGCTGGGGGTGCAGGGAGGGCCGAAATGTGGGCAAATTGGGGGGGGAATGGTGGCCAAAATGTGTGGGACGGTGGCCAGAATGTGTGGGATGACGGCCAGGGACACGGAGATGGTCGGGGGCACAGGGAGTCTCAAAATCCCTGGAATTGCAGCCAGGATTGATGGAATTACAGTCAGGGATGTGGAGGTGATCCTGGTCAGAGTCTGGGGGTGCAGGGAGTCCCAAAATCCGTGGGATCACAGCCAAAATCCGTGGGACCGTGGCCAAAATCCGTGGGATCACGGCCAAAATCCGTGGGATCACAGCCAGGGACACGGAGATGATCGGGGGCACAGGGAGTCTCAAAATCCATGGAATCACAGCTGAAATCCCTGGAATTGCAGTCAGGGACACAGAGGGAATCGTGGTCAGAGTCTGGGGGTGCAGGGAGTCCCAAAATCCTTGGGATCGTGGCCAAAATCTGTGGGATCGTGGCCAAAATCTGTGGGACTGTGGCCAAAATCCCTGGAATTGCAGCCAGGGACACGGAAATGATCGGGGGCACAGGGAGTGTCAAAATCCATGGAATCGCAGCTGAAATCCCTGGAATTGCAGTCAGGGATGTGGAGGTGATCCTGGTCAGAGTCTGGGGGTGCAGGGAGTCCCAAAATCCTTGGGATCACGGCCAAAATCCATGGAATTGCAGCCAGGAGTGGGGGCACAGGGAATTCTGCCCCTTCCCACTTTTAGATCAGCTCCGAGGATTCCCTGGAATTCTCTCACCCTTTTCTCCAAGATTTCCCTCACCCTTTTCTCCAGGAATTCCCTGGAATCCCCTCACCCTTTTCTCCAAGATTTCCCTGGAATTCCCTCACCCTTTTTCACCAGAATTCCCAGGAATCCTCTCACCCTTTTCTCCTGGAATCCCCTCACCCTTTTTCCCATGATTTCCCTGGAATTCCCTCACCCTTTTCTCCAGAAATTTTCAGGAATCCCCTCACCTTTATTCCCAGGAATTCCCTGCCCTCTCCTGACCCTTTTCCCGGTGTTTTATTTTATTTTATTTTATTTTATTTTATTTTATTTTATTTTATTTTATTTTATTTTATTTTATTTTATTTTATTTTTTTCTCCCCCAGGACATCAGGAACACGGTGGGGAACATTCCCATGGAATGGTACCAGGATTTTCCACACGTGGGCTACGACCTGGACGGGAGGAGGATCTACAAACCCCTGAGGAGCAAGGACGAGCTGGACCTGTTCCTGGAGAAGATGGAAAACCCGGAATACTGGTGAGGAATTCACCTGGGGGGGAGCCTGAAAACCCCAGAGCATTCCATGGATTTTTATTTTTTTTTTTATGGAGTTTCTGTGGGGTTGGAGTTTCAGGGTTCTGGAGCTTTCCTGGGGTGATTCCGGGTGGGAGGATTTGGGATCTGGCACGGAGCTTCCCTCCTGTCCATCCTCAGCTGAATCCTGGGATTCCATCAGAATCCCTGTCCTCATCCCAAAAATCCCTCTGCTTCCTAAAATCCCTCTGCATCCCTGGCCTCATCCCAAAAATCCCTCTGTATCCTTGTCCTCATCCCAAAAATCCCTGTGCATCCTGGGATTCCCTCAGAATCCCTGTCCTCATCCCAAAAATCCCTCTGCTTCCTGGGAATCCCTCAGAATCCCTGTCCTCATCCCAAAAAATCCCTCTGCATCCCAAAATCCCTCTGCATCCCTGTCCTCATCCCAAAAAATCCCTCTGCATCCTGGGATTCCCTCAGAATCCCTGTCCTCATCCCAAAAATCTATTTGCATCCTGGGAATCCGTGTCCATCCCAGGAATCGCCCTGCATCCCTGTCCGTCCCGGGAATCCCTGTCCCAGATCCCCGAACTCCTGTCCCCGTGTCCGTCTGTCCATCCCCGTGTCCATCCCTGTGTCCATCCCCATGTCCATCCCTGTGTCCATCTGTCCATCCCCGTGTCCATCCCCATGTCCATCCCTGTGTCCCTGTGTCCATCCAGGCGTACAGTCCAGGACAGACAGACGGGAGCCGATGTCCGTGTGTCCATGTGTCCATCCCTGTGTCCGTCTGTCCATCCCTGTGTCCATCCCTGTGTCCATGTGTCCATCCCTGTGCCCGTCTGTCCATCCAGGAGGACAGTCCAGGACAGACAGATGGGAGCCGATGTCCGTCTGTCCATGTGTCTGTCCATGTGTCCATCCCCGTGTCCGTCTGTCCATCCCTGTGTCCGTCTGTCCATCCCTGTGTCCGTCTGTCTGTCTGTCTCTCTGCAGGCGTACGGTGCAGGACAGACAGACGGGAGCCGATGTCCGTGTGTCCATCCCTGTGTCCGTGTGTCCATCCCTGTGTCCATCTGTCTGTCTGTCTCTGCAGGCGTACGGTGCAGGACAGACAGACGGGAGCCGATGTCCGTCTGTCCGTGTGTCCATCCCTGTGTCCGTCTGTCCATCCCTGTGTCCGTCTGTCCATCCCTGTGTCTGTCTGTCCATCCCTGTGTCCATGTGTCCATCCCTGTGTCCGTCTGTCCATCCCTGTGTCTGTCTGTCTCTCTGCAGGCGTACAGTCCAGGACAGACAGATGGGAGCCGATGTCCGTCTGTCCATCCCTGTGTCCATCCCTGTATCCGTGTGTCCATCCCTGTGTCCGTCTGTCTGTCTCTCTGCAGGCGTACAGTCCAGGACAGACAGACGGGAGCCGATGTCCGTCTGTCCATCCCTGTGTCTGTCTGTCTCTCTGCAGGCGTACGGTGCAGGACAGACAGACGGGAGCCGATGTCCATCTGTCCATCCCTGTGTCCGTCTGTCCATCCCTGTGTCCGTGTGTCCATCCCTGTGTCCATCTGTCTGTCTGTCTCTCTGCAGGCGTACGGTGCAGGACAGACAGACGGGAGCCGATGTCCGTCTGTCCGTGTGTCCATCCCTGTGTCCGTGTGTCCATCCCCATGTCCATCCCTCTCTCTGCAGGCGTACGGTGCAGGACAGACAGACGGGAGCCGATGTCTGTCTGTCCCTGTGTCCATGTGTCCATCCCTGTGTCCGTGTGTCCATCCCTGTGTCCGTCTGTCCGTCTGTCTCTCTGCAGGCGTACGGTGCAGGACAGACAGACGGGAGCCTATGTCCGTCTGTCCATCCCTGTGTCTATCTGTCTGTCCATCCCTGTGTCTGTCCATGTGTCCATCCCCAAGTCCATCCCTGTGTCCCTGTGTCCATCCAGGCATACGGTGCAGGACAGACAGACGGGAGCCGATGTCCGTCTGTCCATCCCTGTGTCCGTCTGTCCATCCCTGTGTCCGTCTGTCCATCCCTGTGTCCATCCCTCTCTCTGCAGGCGTACGGTGCAGGACAGACAGACGGGAGCCGATGTCCGTCTGTCCATCACCGTGTCCATCTGTCTGTCTCTCTGCAGGTGTACGGTGCAGGACAGACAGATAGGAGCCGATGTCCGTGTGTCTGTCCATCCCCGTGTCCATCCCTGTGTCCGTGTGTCCATCCCTGTGTCCATCTGTCTGTCTGTCTGCAGGCGTACAGTGCAGGACAGACAGACGGGAGCCGATGTCTGTGTGTCCATCCCTGTGTCTGTCTGTCTCTCTGCAGGCGTACGGTGCAGGACAGACAGACGGGAGCTGATGTCCGTCTGTCCGTGTGTCCATCCCTGTGTCCGTGTGTCCATCCCTGTGTCCGTCTGTCTCTCTGCAGGCGTACGGTGCAGGACAGACAGACGGGAGCCGATGTCCGTCTGTCCGAGGAGCAGCTGGAGCTGGTGCAGCGCCTGCAGCGGGGACAGTTCGGGGACGTCAACTTCGACCCCTACGAGGTGGGAGAAATTCCCAA